TCCCTTCACTCTCTGCTCTTCTCTGGTGGTTTTTACTTCATGACCTCCCCTCCCCTCTTCCTCCACAAGAAAACTCTCAATTTTGATCTCTTTCTAGAAAGTCTTACCTCTCACAGAAAATTCATCTCCCGAATGAACTGCCTCTCCCTTCCTCACCAAAGTCTCTGGCCTTTCCAGCTCTGGGTCGTTCTTCTCTCCAGGGATCCTCCCCTTCAACCTCTCCTGGCCCATTTCGGGATGCCCTTCTCCTGGGATTGTCCTTTCCAGGACTCTCCTCTCCCGAGGGTCCCTCCTTTGCCCTGCCGGGACTCTCACTTCCCAGCCCTTCCAGCCCATCCTGTCCCTTCTTGGTTGGTCCCTCCTGTCCCTTCCGGGACTCTCACCTCCCAATCCCCGCCTGCCCCTTCCTCCTCTCCCCTGCTGAGACATTCCCAGGCTCTTCTGGGCCCTCCTGAGCTCTCACCTCCAGCCTCTCGGCTCCTCTCCGGTGCTCTCCTCTTGCCCTTCCTCTCTGGGAGCCGGGCTCTTTGAGACTCCTGCCCTGGCAGCTCCACCTGTCTGACTAGATCTGGCGGCAGCCCCGCCCTCCACCCACCCCCGCTGCACTGCACATGGGGTGGAGGGTGGGTCCAGGCCACAGGTCAGTGCCTGGAGGAGCAGGACCCACGAGGATTGAGAAAGCCAAATAAAGCTGGGACTCACCGTCTACCCACCCTCTCTAGATCAGCCAGATGGTCTAAGGTTTTAGGTTTTGAATCACAAACCTGCTGAGGCTCCAGTCCCAGCCCAAACCTTGGAGCAAAGAGAACTGCAGAAAACCCACACCCAGCATCTGCTAAACTAGCCATAAATTCTCAGTTTGTCCTACTTTAAATGGGTACTATCACCCTTCTCTCCCAGGGAGGGGCAGGGAAGCCAGTGGCATGTGAGGAGGTGGGGACGTGGGGGAGGTCTCAGGAATCTTCCCCTCCCTCAGGGAGGAGTCTAATGATCTAGGCCCTCTCCCCCTCAGGACCTCAAGGAATGACGGAGGAGGGCTCACTGGGACACAAAAGTCAGACCCAGGGGAGCCTGGGGCTCTGAAGAAGTCCCAGAGGGATAATGCAGTCCCTGAACAGCCCGGGCAGCAGATGCTCTGAGAGCAACCTGCGCAGGTACTGAGTGAAGAACACACCTGACACATCCACCGAGGCTGCACATGCACCCCTCACACACACATACTGGGCCCCCATCCCACAGACGCTCCCCCAACCTCCATGTCAACCCCCAACTGCCCCACCACCGTCAGGCCCAAGTCCTTCCATACACACATGGCCTCACACACACCTGCCTCTCACACAGCTCTCCCCTCACCCACCCAATGACCATATCACCAAGGGCTAGCACACATATGCACACATGGAGCCTACACAGCGCCTGCCGGCAACAACTGCCCTCCTCTGACACACCACCCAAACAAGCCCCCGTGGACGCTGACATGCATAGTTTCTAATACTCAGACCTGCTCCAAAAATACATTCACTCTAGTGAACACACCCTAAGCACTCACACATCCTCCTAGGTCCTGCATTACCATGTGCAGATGCTTATGCTCACACATACATGAGTCACAGATAAATGTGGTCACATACATAAGCTCATACAGCCCACTTAGCAGGGAATGCATATAAAATCCCCCATACCACATGCTGACACACACCTGTCCTCGGTCAAGCACACAGATCTCTTTTCACAGATGACGATCATTCATTCATTCATTCATTCATTCACAATCATATTTTTGCTGTTTGCCTATTCTGTGGGAGGGCCGGCCAGGAGAGGGTAACATGTGCTCTAACACACAGTTCCTTCCTGACCCATGAGTTTGCCAGCTTGTTATCTCTCTCAACCACCACACTCGCATGCACCCTGGAGGTCAGGAGTGGCTCAAGGTTCTGGAAAGGACCTCTCTCCAAGCTAGAGAGGAATCTGGGTGTGTCCCCGCAGGGGAACTCGGTCCTTCCTTTTAAGATGGATGGAAGGGAAAAGGAAACAGGCAGAGGAAGGGGGAGGGGAAAAGAGGAGGGAAGAGAAGGGAGGAGGGAGGGAGGGGACAAGAGGGAAGAGGGATAAGACCTAGAGGTGGTGGAGGAAGGCCTAGGTTTGAGTAAATGGGGTCCACGCACGGGAGGGCGGTTGCTGGAGAGGCCCAGCCCCAGAGAGCTGGGACCTCCCACTCACTCTCCCCAGGAACAGCCTCGCCCACAGCCAGGGCAGGGCAGGGCTGGGCCGGGCGAGCCAGGCAGGGGGCCCCGGGCACGTGGAGCGCCCGCCCAGGAAAGGTCCAGACTCACCAGTGGGGGGCCAGGCAGGCAGCAGTGGAGGGCTCGGAGGGAGCAGGGCCAGAGAGAAGTCCCCAGGGCCAGCCTGCCTGCCACTTCCTCATCTGCTGGGCCGACTTTCTGTCACCAGAGGGGGAGGGGGCGGGCCGGGTGGGGGGCGCTTGCTGATTGGGTCTTCGGCTGAGGCAGGAGGGGCAGTCCAGCCTCAACTGGGCTCGGCCCGCAGGGCGGGAGCAGGGGCGGGCCGCCCGATCCCGGGCAGGAAGCACGCCCAGCCCCGACTCCCCACCCCTTCCCTCGGCATCACTCAGCCCGCCGCTGTCAGCTCGCGCGGCCTGGGTAGGGCCGCCAGAGTCGTAACCTGCTTCTTCCTGACATTCAGCCCATGAATGGCCTTATTCTGGGCCTTCGGGTGATTAATCCGCCAACACGACCAACACATCTGCGTGGGCAGGCAGGCCCACCCAGCTTAGGACCCTGGGAAAAGTTCCAGGGCTCAGCCCTTCCTCAAAGAGCACCCTCTAGAAAGGGGGAGACCTGGGCGGCCATGAGCCACAGGAGCAGGGAGGTCTCTGTAGGAGGGAGCAGCTGGGCATGCAAGCCTTCCCTCCGAGCCCATAGGTCTGGATGAGCCCTAGCATTAGGAGTCGCTGAGGACGTCCTGTCATGGAGGTGGGAAAATACAAGTGGCTGGGGTACAGCCCCTCTGCCCTGTACCGGCCCGGCGGCAGGTGGTGTGGTCTGAAATGCATCGAGTGAAACCCTTGTTACATGCTATGCACATGTGTGTTTTGTGTCTCACTGTGTTTGATATTATATGATATTTAAGAAAGCACTAAACTGTAATAAAGCATTTAATTTGCTTTTTATTTAAACACACACACACACATACACACACACAAGTGGCCTGGGGCAGGAACTCGGAGTGAGTCACTGGCTGGCTACACTGGCCTTCCAGGCAGTGAAAGGGAAAGAAGGAAAGTGAAGCTGGCTGTGGCTGTGGCTGAATGTAGATCTTGAAGGTCGAACCGGGCACTTTGACTTTATTCTGGAAGCAGTGGAGAAACAGTGAAGATTTTTGAGGAGGCTATAATCAAATAATTCATCAAATATTTATAGACAACCTGCCATCTGCAAGGTGCTGGTGACACATCCGCGAATAAGGCAGAGCTGTCCCTGCAGGGGTTTACCATCCAGTTGAATCACTTCACTCTGGCAGCCAGTATGAAGAGGGCATTGGAGAGACCAGTGAGAGATACAGCCTGACCTAAGAAGATCTGGAAACTGATGGGAATGGAGAGGCAGACACTGTGAGATTTCCCCGAGCCAACTGTCTATCCAGCTTTCCCTCTTCCACACTCAACTGGACTGAATTCTTGGGGGTGACTAGGTTTTAGTGAAATGAAATCTTTATCTTCAGTAGCTCCTGGAATAGTGCTTTGCATATAATGATCTAATAATTGCTTACAGGATTGGATGGTGCAAATGCAGATAGAATAAGGAATTCAGAGGAGACAGTGGTTTGGAAGAAATAATATGTTCCTAAATGGTTGGATGTAGCTATACAGTGGGGCCTTGACTTACGAGTTTAATTCGTTCAGAGACCGAGCTCGTTAAGGAGCTCATTAACTCAAATTACTCTATCAACTCAATGCAAAAAATCAGCCGAGAGACAGCTGGTATCTCAAAAAACTCGTTAGTTGGGACACTCGTAAGTCAAGGCCCCATTGTATAGAAGTTCAGTCTTAGAGGGAAGAGGTCAGAACCAAAGTATACCTATGACCCAGCCCATTAGTACCTGCCCTTAACAGGAAATGGCAGAAGAATTCAACTATTCAAAAGGCTCACACTTCAAATTGTACACTAAGGCATAACTGATCTGGCTCTGTCTCCTGTTCAACCTATGCCATTCTCCTGGGCCACATCCTATGCTTTAACCATTCCCCAGAGATGTCAGCATCTTTCATACTCCCCACTTCTCCAAGCCTTGTTGCCTGGCTCAACACAAGATACAAGGAGTCTCCTAGGCAATAAATCGATCCTCTCCCCTTTCTCATAACCTTACCACGATGTAATTATTTGTATCACCCTTCCCCCACCCCAAGTTCTTCTCAGCAGGGGCTGTTTTAGTTGTCTCTGTCTCCAGCATCCAGTCCAGCACGTGGCTCATTTGGCCCTCCATGTTTGTTGAGTGAATATTAGAGTGAATGAAACAATGTGAGAAAGGGAAGGAGGTCGAGGGACCAAGAGTCAAGGAGGGGAGGATAGTAAGAATTCGAAAGCCTTTCTACTTCCTTGGAGTAGCGGTATTCATTGAGTCAATAAATGTTTATTGAAAGCCTAATGTGTTCCAGGCATACTTCAGTGGCTTCAGGATCAGAACTGTCTCCAAAGGCTTGAGTTAAAATCTTCCAGTTAGTAGCTGTGTGACTTTCTGTAAGCTGCTGACCTTCTAGAAAATGGGGACAACAGTACCTATCTCATTGGATTGTTGTGAAGATTAAAGAGCCCGGCCAGTGTGGCTCAGTGGTTGAGCATCGACCTATGAACCAGAAGATTACGGTTTGATTCCCAGTCTGGGCATATGCTCGAGTTGCAGGCTCAATCCCTAGCTGGGGGCATGCAGGAGGCAGCTGATCAATGATTATCTCTAATCATTGATGTTTCTCTCTCTCCTTCTCCCTCTCTGAAATAAAAAATATATATATTAAAAAAAAATAAGATTAAAGGAGATAACCCACGTGAAGTGCTTAGCATTGTTCCTATCTCAACATTTAGTAGACAAGGTGGGGGGTAACCAGTATATCAAGAAGGTATACATGTGTATGTAGATTCATGAGCATTCATTTAACAAATATTTCCTAAATGCTTACTGTACAAAGCACTTTTCTGAGAGTGCTATTGAGAGGTTTTGGATTCAGTGTCCATCTAGAGATGAACTAGAGAAGAACAAAGCAGACCATTATTGACAACGAAACTATCCCAGAGCCCAATCATAGTAATAGGGAACTTCAACTACCCATGTATTCACCTGGACCACATTGGCAAAAAGACCACGGTAAGCCCTCAGTAAATGCTGATTTATTACATGAATGAACATGCTGAAAGACTCACTTCATTTGATTTTTGTCCTCGTCCTGGGAGAAAGTATCTTCAAATATCTGATATGGACCACTTAACCCCAAGTTCTACCAAATGGCATCCCCATGGCTGTGGGATTCCTGTAAAATACTCACAGTCTAGTGGGGAAGAAAGACACATAAATGAATAATTTGAGTAGCAAGTGTTACGTATTCCCAGAGATAAATCCAGAGATTATGAAAGCACACGGGTAGGGGTGGGGGACACTGTACTCTAAGGTGGGAGTTAGTTCTTGAAGGTTTCACAGAAATGACACCTTTGCTGAGCATTAAAGGACACTTTATAGAAGGCAGGGAAAGACATTACAGGCAGAGGGAAGCATGTGTTTAAAGGCATAGAAGCTAGACATGTGGCAGGTTTGGGGAGCTCGAGGTAGTTTGGTGTGGCTCTAGCTCAGAGGGCATATGGGTAAGGGCAGGAAATCTAGGCTGGCGTCAGTTTATGAAGAGCCCTGTATTCCATGGTTTGAATTTTATTCTTTATCTTTTTCAGTCCTAGAATCACCTGGGGAGCTTTTAAAAGATCAATGCCTGGCTCTCGCCTCCAGATTGATTCTGATGATCTTTTCATGGCAAGAGGCTTGAGTGTGTTTATGTACTGCGTGGAAGGAAGCAATGGGCTCCAGCACACACCTCACAGACTGAGATGTGTGAAAAGGAAGAGTAAGTTTGTCAATGGACCGGGAGGAAATGGGAGAGTTTGGGACCTGTGGGGAGGCTAGGTGGAAGGCCTTGGAGGTCAGAGGGTTCAGTGAAGGTTCCCACACCAGGGCAGGCTGATAAACTGGAGGGGTCTAGGAACTCACAGTTTTGTTTTGTTTTGTTTTTTTAATTTAAAAAATTTATTTATTGATTTGAGAGAGAGAGGGAGAAAAAGAAAGGCAGAAACATCAATCTATTGTTCCACTTATTTATGCATCCATTGATTGATTCTTGTATATGCCCTAACCAAAGATAGAACCTGCAACCTTGGCATATCAGGACAACACTAACCAACTGAGCGACCCAGCCAAGGCCAGGAACTCACAATATTGATAAGGATGACAGGAAATCAGGTGACAATTTCCTCTGGGTCCCATCCTGTCTGACTGCCTCCTCACTCACTGTTCTCTAAGGGGCCCTTCTCCATCCTCTTTCCCCAGAAGGCATGGATTTACTTTCTCCATGGGTTTAGTCTGAAAACTGTCACCTGTATAAACTCTAACAATTCTATCATTATTTTAGGCTTTATATTTCAGCGGAAAAATTAAAGGAAAGTGGAATCAAACAAACAGGAATGGCAATAAGTAAAAAATAAGGTAAATCTATATGGGAGTGAGTGAGTGACTGAGCAGGTGGAGCAGTGGAATAGAGTATGGGAGAGGCAGGAGGGTGCTGGGGGGGGGGTGGTAGTGGTGGTGGTGGCGATGGGGCTGTTGTCATCTAAGAACAATAGAAACTAAGGGTCACTCTAGGCTGAGGGACAACAGGAGTGTCAGGTAGCCTCCTAGGGGCTGTGTCAAGCTTCCCCATGCCCATCTTGTAAAGGACAAAGGGCACTTTCTACACAGCACTCACATGGGGGAGTTGAGGGGAGTGCTGAGTCTGTGAGGACAAGGGAGCCAAGATGAGGGTGAAGGGTTTGTCAGTTAATCATTCTACATGTCCCTGGGCCTTAGCCAGATAGAAGGTATACACTGCCTAAGCCTGGGACCTTGGCTGAGGAAAATGGAGCTGGAAAGACATCTGGCTGGCAGAAGGGAGAGGCTGTTTACAAACACTCATATCATCTGGAATTTGGGGGTTTGCCTGGACTCTTGAGAGGTCAGGGACAAGAGTAGGTAGCCAATGCCATGGGTATCAAAGAGTGTTCCCTGAACTGATCATTGAAAAAGAAACTCAGAAGGAAGAGGGCTGTGATAAAACCTGCAGGAAGAGCTCTGGAGAGAGAAAAGGGGAAGCTTTGGGGTAGTAGACAAACTCGGGGAGATTCTTAAAATGGAAGAGTTAGCAAAAATCTGGAAGATGTGTGAGAAGAGCCAAGAGGGTAAAAGAGAAAATGTAGCTTACTATTCAGTACTTTCTCTGGCAAGCATGGGGCCAGTTGCTTTCCAGGTGTTCTTATGGTTCAGTCTTGTAAGGTACTGTTATCACTGCTTACCAGATGAAAAGAATGGGATCAGAAAGGGTGAAGGATCTTTTCAAGGTCACATAGCAAGGTGGAAGCAAATAGGTATTCCTAGGCTGAAGGGATGGATGGAGGAAAGCACAGTGATTCTGTTTGGTTAAAGAATAAGGTGAATGAAAGGCCTACTTATGATAGAAGGTTAAAAAGTCGGGTGGCCCCCTATCATGAAGTGTTTTGAATGAAAGAATGAGGACTTTTTCCTGGCCAGTGTGGCTCAGTGGTTGAATATCGACCTATGAAACAGGAAGTCACGGTTCAATTACTGGTTGGAGGAGGCAGCCAATCGATGATTCTCTCTCATCATTGATGTTTCTATCTCTCTCTCCCTCTCCCTTCCTCTCTGAAATCAATAGCAATACAAAAAATTTTTTTTAAAGAATGAGGAGTTTCAGTTGTATTGGGTGTGTCCCTGATTTTTAAGAAAGGGGGTTGGTATGATCCCCATTGCTCTTTACGAAGATAAACCTGATGACAGTAAACTATATTATCAAGAGAAAAATGAGGAATGGAGACCATCTGAGAGAACAGCTGAGAGGCACAGATGTGACACAATGAAGGCCTGAACCAGAGCAATCAGAGTGAGAAGGAAGAAGAGAGAGGAACCAGAACTGACAGCAATGCTAAGCTGATAACCCAGGTGAAGCAGGACGGAGGCCAGGGCAAATAAGTAAGGACAATCAAGGAGAGAACTGATCATAGCTGCAGAGAGATCTCTGAGTGACGCAGGCCCTGTTTAAAAACAGAATGTAGGCAGACAATGGAACTAAGTGTTTACCTGGTTTGGACAGGGAAGAGACATAGTGTAGGAGGAATGAAATAGAACATTTCAGGTGAGGGAATTTGTCATTTGGTCTCAAATAAAAATGAAGCAATTTAAGAGACCAAACTGGGCTCATTAGGAAGAGTATAGATGACAACTAAGTAGGAGAAAAAAAATTCACAAAACTAGATTTGAAAATGTCTTATCACATCAGATAAGTCAGTGATTTGTCTGCATGAGATGCTAAGGAGACACCATGGGAAATGAAATGAGCATAAAGGGTGTCTCTGAGGCCAAACTCCTGAGATGTGAGCACAGACAAACTGCAGTGGAAAGAAAAGGTTACTTCCTCAGAAATATTGGTCAATCATTGATTTAAGCAACAATTACTGAGAGCAGAGTTCTAGACACTACCTTGAGGATAGGTAATATTTATTGAACTTCTACTATTGTCAGGCACTATTCTAAGCACTCTCTCTATATTAATCTATTTAAACTTCATAGCAAACCAATGAAATAGCCACTATTATTATCATCCCCATGAATTTAAAAAAAACTGAGGCAGAGAAGTAAATTAACTCGCCCAAAACCACACAGGTCGTGTCACAGCTAGGATTCAAACCCAAGCAGTCTGGCACTAGAACCCGCTCTTAACCCAAATGCTACATTACAGATGCTGTAATACAAGACACATTGTCTTGCCAAAGATCACACAATTCCTAGGTGGAAAAACTGGGATTCAAACCCTGAAAGTTTAATGTGTTTGAACGTGGGGGACAGTAAAGGGCAGCAAGAGCTAGACTTAGTATGCACAAGGTACAAATGTGGAGCATAAAAGAGGAGGTAATTGACCTTACCAGTGGGAGTGGCAAGGAATTGAGGACAGATTGGGTTGTTGGAAAGGTTCACAGAGGAATGACTCATGAGCTGAATTTTGAAGGATCATTGGGTATTCATCAGACAGAATGATGGGGCAAAGTGTTCCATGTAGAGGGACCAGTGGGAATAAAGAAATGAAGGCTGGACCGGCCGGTGTCGCTCAGTGGTTGAGCATTGACCCGTGAACCAGGAGGTCAAAATTCGATTGCCAGTCAGGGCACGTGCTGGGGTTGCAGGCTTGATCCTCAGTAGGGGGCGTGCAGGAAGCAGCCGATAGATGATTCTCTCTCATTACTGATGTTTCTCTCTCTCCCTTCTTCTCTCTGATATCAATAAAGACATTTTAATTTTAAAGAAATGGAGGCTGAATAAAGTCTGTATACCTGGGGAATAGAGTGAGTGATGGGATAATATAGAAAATAAGTCAGGGGCTAGATCACACAGAATCTTATTTGCCTTCCAAGAAATTTGAGCTGTTTTCCAAACTTTTTCAGTGAAGTAAATGTAATGGCAAAAAAATAAAAATAAAATAAAGATCCCTAGGGAATCCGGTGGCTTACTCCAAAGCCCTTCAGATTACAGTCATGCGCCACACATTTTGGTAAACAGACTGCATATACGATGGTCCCATAAGATTAATAGTGCTGAAAGCCTCCCTTTGCCTAGTGATGTCACAGCCATCATGTCGTGGTGCAATGCATTACTCATGTGCTTGTGGTGATGCTGGTGTCCAGTGTTGGTAAAGTCTACAGTAGTGCAGTCATGTCCTAGGCCTTCACATTCACTCGCCACTCACTCACTGACTCACTCAGCAAATCCAAGCTCCATTCATGGTAAGTGCCCTATACATTTTTTATACTATTTTTACTGTGCCTTTTCTATGTTTAGATACAAGTGCCTACCATATTTAGTATAGTAACATGCTGTACAGGCTTGTAGCCATACAGGGTGGCAAATCCCTTCCAAATGTTAGCCCCTATGTGTTCAAGGCTGTAAGGCCAGAGTCATATCAAGCCTCCCCAGTTAGGCACAATGAACTGTCAGGACTGATTAAAAAAAAGGGGGGGGGGAGCCCCTGGCCCTACTTCTGGCCTGTTGCTAAAATTCAGTAAGTTATCCCCCCAAATCTGAAGCAGATAAAAGAAAATGTACATCCCTCAGTAGTTTCTCTGGACAGTAATCAGGAGTTGACCCAGGGTGGGCGTTTGGAAGGATTCAGCCTCCGTCCTGCCTGGTGCTGGGATCAGCTCATACGGCTCCTGTGTCCACAGGGCACAGAGAACACATTGTCCATAGGATTATTCCGGACAAGAAGCTCAGACAAAGGGAGAAGTTGTTCCCAGCTGCCTGGGGGAGGTGAGATGGGGGTGGGAAAAGGGACCAGCCTTGCACTAGGGCATTCCTACAGAGTTCAGCTTCTTTCCCCAGCAGCAGGATGGGAGGTGGGCACTACACAACCTCTCCATCTCAGTTCCAATGCCAGGACCCCTTATGGAGTTGGAAGGAGCACTTAGCTACAACCTACCTATCTTGGCTGTTTCCCAAGAAAGTACAAGGTTAATTAAAGTAAGCTAGCTAGGTAAGACAACAATAAATATCAGAAGGGGAAGAAAATGGGGTGACTGGGGCAAAGATCAAAAGGGAGGCTCAACAATGACCCAATCCCAACTTTAGGACAGAGCTGCAGAAGGAGAGGTCCTAGGCAATGGGTGTCAGACAGTGATTCAGTGAGCTCCCACCTGCAGGATGAACTCAGTGCTGAGTAAGATCTTGAGATTTCACAGCTGCTGTTTTCTCCATGCTAGATATAAACCTGGAAGACAATCTCATTTGCCAGGGGCCCCAAAGAGGAGAAAGCAGAGCAGTCAGAACCTGAGGAATATTACCAGAGTAGGGCAAGAGAGCCATCTTTTGCAAATCCTAAATTTGAGCACATCATGTCCTTTTTTTTTTTTTTTTAAATATATATTTTATTGATTTCAGAGAGGAAGGGAGAGGGAGAGATAGAATGATCAATGATGAGAATCATTGATCGGCTGCCTCCGCCACACACACACACACACACACACACACACACACACACACTGGGTATTGAGCCCACAACCTAGGCATGTGCCCTTGACTAGAATCAAACCTGGAACCCTTCAGTTAACAGGCAGTTGCTCTATCCACTGACCAAACCAGCTAGGATCATCATGGCCTCTTCTTCAAAGGAAGCTCCATATATATTACCCCCTGAGGGAATGAGTATGTTAGGAGTGGGAGATACATACTCTCCACTGAGGTGGTTACTGGGTTATATGGGCCCCATAGTTGGCGATGCTACATAGGTTGTGCACTCCAGAGGATTTGGAGGTGGGAGCGGGCTTGGAAATGAGAGCATGTGCTTTCAAAGTTTAGAAGTTGGAGATGTGAATGCCTCCAGAATAAGGAGTATTTGTTTATGGGCACAAGATACATGTCAGGTTACTGCATATGTTCCTGTTGGGATAGAATATTTCCATTCTTAGAGGACAAGGAATCCATTTCAAATAGGTAGAGTGGGAATAAAGTCAGTATTAGCCATAGACAACGAAGAAACATGGCTTTGGTGCCTTTCAGCAGGAAGGAATCTTTTGGTGGAATGAAGAATAGCAGTTACCAAAAGTTTGCTTCAGGGATTTTACAGAAGCACAGCATAAACCCTAGGCCAGTGATGGCGAACCTTTTGAGCTCGGCGTGTCAGCATTTTGAAAAACCCTAACTTAACTCTGGTGCCATGTCACATATAGAAATTTTTTGATATTTGCAACCATAGTAAAACAAAGACTTATATTTTTGATATTTATTTTATATATTTAAATGCCATTTAACAAAGAAAAATCAAAAAATGAGTTCGCGTGTCACCTCTGACACGCGTGTCATAGGTTTGCCATCACTGCCCTAGGCAATATGAGAGTTAGCTTTGACAACACCAGTAGGAAGGGAAGGGATAAGAAGATAAAGAACACCTGAGTGAGCTGACAGAGTAGTAAGTGGGAGAAAGGTCTGGCTTTGCCTCAGAGCCAATGACATGACTCCCTGTGCTGCTGTGTGATATGGTCAGTGTACTTTGTGGATACCATTTCTTGTCTTGATGGAACAGAAATGAATGTGACATCTGGGACCACTTTTCCAGTCCTCTGCTGCCACAGCCTGGCAGAATTCTGCCTGGCACCGAACAAATGCCAAAGTACTAGATGTGACGAAAGAGAACAGAAAAAAAGCAGCTAGAAGGCTGTCCTCATAACTCAGGACTTTTAGATCAAAGCTAATCAGAGATAAAAACTTTTTAGGGAGAACAAATTACAATTACCTTGAAGCAACCTTGAAAGTCTCATAAATTGCTGTCAGATATGCCTGACATATGACCATCAAAATTTAAGTAACTTTATTCAGAGAAACCCTTTGGTCCACTTCTACTGACTCAACCCTTGCCCTTGCCCAAAAGGAGTGAGAAAGGCAACTTAGATTAGAGACTCAAAATCATTCTGCTCTTCAACTTAAAAACACAGGCAAAGGTACTGGTGGCTACCCATTCCCATGATTGATCCGGCTCTTCCTTGAAGCACAGGCTCATGGAGAGCAGAGCAGGCCCAAGCTTTACCAAAGCTTTAGGTAGATCGTTCACCCCAGCCCAGAAGCCTCATCGCCTAGATTGAAGACATGGCCAGGATGGAGCCGGGCAGAGACAGTGTGCCTCTAAGAACATAGAGGCTGCCACAGTTTCTAGCAGCACAAAATAAGCAGACTTTCCAACAGAACAGAGTGGTCCATGATCCTGTGTTCATCAGCTCACCACTGACATGAAGCAGTATCAGATCAGGGTCAGTTCTGGATCAAGGACTGAGGAGGGCAGTAGGGAGAAGTGGCTGTAGAAACTATGATTTATTAAATAGCAATTATTTCATACTAGAGGCCCGGTGCACAAAATTCAGGCATAGGTAGGGTCCCTAGGCCTGGCTGGCAATCAGGGCCAATCGGGGCCTTCTGGCTGCCAGCGGGGCCTTCCTTCGTTCCCTGCCACCCCCTGGTGGTCAGCGCATTTCATAGCGAGTGATTGAACTCCCAGTCTCTCGGTCGAACTCCCAAGGGGACATTTTATATATTACCTTTTATATATATAGACACTGTGCTAAGTGTTTTACATTCATTTTCTCATTTAATCCTCACAACAGTCTTATGATGTAGAGATTACTATCATTTACAGATAAGAAAACAGGCTCAGAAAAATTAGGTCACTTGCCCAAGGTCACACAGTTAGTCAGTGACAAAGCTGGGATTTGTCTGTTGCTGAAAGCCATGTCCTTTTATTGTACCCATCTAGGTCAGTTTGGGCAAAAGGCAATTTTACTGCCTAGCTCTACAAAGAGCATCTGGGAGTCGAGGTCGCTGGCCACACTCACCGCTGGTAGGGATGCATTGAAGCTGACTTGATGTTGGTTTTTATTCCACTTGGCATTTTCCCTAAAAGGAACATAAAGAAAGACACTTGATGCATGGTAAGACTTTTATGATAATTCAGAAATGTGGTCTCTTAGGTTTCCTTCTGCCACCCTCTCTATCAACTCAAAACCTCTGTAGCATCTGAACCTGGACGCCAAAGCTCAGAGGCGTGGTTGCACACCAGCTCTCTCCCTAACGGTATCAAGGAGGAAAGGGCTGTTTGTGGGGAGATGACGTGGTGGGAAGGATCAGACTCCTGCTCACCTATTCCTAGAAAAGATAGCTAAATCTGTGTGATCCCCATTCACAGGTAAAAGAATATACTTTTATTTTAATTGTCCCTTTTCTCAGACAGTGTAGAAGAAAATATCTCTTCTGGTTACTTGCATCTGAACTCCTCCAGACTGTCCTCATCCTCACTAAAAGTGAGCAGGAGACAGAATATGGAGAAAAGAATACATGTAGCACTGGGAAACTTACTGCTTATCAATTCTCAACCCACCTACCAAATGGTCTTAATTAAGGTCTGACCATCGGTTTCTCTAAGAAAAAACCCCTAACATATCTGATATGCAGAGTAAATGGAACAGAAGGGTAGCTGAGAGACAGATTTGAGATAGCGGTTGGAGGTGAGAGCAGTTTCTGCTATTCAAAGTTATTCTTCATTCTCTGGAGTTTGTTAGCGTCTCAAATGAGATTTTTACTCTCAAAAATTGTTTTCTGGATCACAATCCAGGAGAATGGGAGAAAATCTCCAGCTCTGGGGAGGCTGAAGGCTCAGACAATTCAGCTTATTCCCACCTCCTTGCTCAAGGTCTGTCTCCATGTCAATCCCTGCCACCTTACCTGGTTGACCTGCCTGGGCCATTTGTACCCCACTGAGAATTGACTGCTGCTGGCTTGGAGCACCTGTCATCTGCACCTGCTGCAATCCTGAGGCTCCTGCAAGGATTGTTCCAGTTCCTGGCTGGCCTGGCTGGCCAGATCCACTGGTGCCTGAAGGTCTCCAATTGGACAGCCCCTTTCCAAAGGCAACAGCTGCCACCAAGGCATTGGTGTCTGTAGGGTTAAAGGTCTGCTTGTTTGGCCGGAGACCTGAAGAAAAAGGTGAGTGAGGACCCTGAAGTATTCCTCTGACCCTGGATGGAACCTAGCAGTAGGAAGACCAGTATGAGTACCAGGGTTTAGCGTTCTGACTTTAGCAGCATCTAGACTCCCTGGTAGCCCAGAGGAAGAGTCAAAGAACCCCCACAACTATCTCAGAATTCTCCCTTTTCACTTTGCCCATTTCCTCCATCTGTTCTAGGGCTGGACTTAAACACAAAAAGCTAACAAAATGGATGTATACCCTTTCCTAAGCAGCTCATTCTTATGTGTCCTCACTTCGCTACTAACCACCATTCCTATAAAAGTGGTCTTATCCCTCTTTCCTGCTCCATTTTTAAAAAATTTATTTTTATTTTCAATCCTCACCTGAGGATATTTTTTCCATTGATTTTTAGAGAGAGTGGAAGGGAAGGAGGGGGAGAAAAGAGGAAAAAGTGAGAAAAACGTCGATGTGAAAGAGACATCAATTGGTTGCCTCCCACATGTGCCCTGGTAGGGGCTGGTGATGAACCTGAAACCCAGGCACATGCCCTTGACTGGGAGTCGAACCTTTGACCCTTCAGTGATAGGGACTGATGTGCTAACCACTTAGCAACACCAGCTAGGGCACTCCACTACTTATTACTATGGCTGGTGCCTTTGGGCAAGTTTCTAACCTTTTTCTATAAAAGAGGAAAGAGATCTGACTTATGGAAGTAAGGATTAAACTCAGGGCTTTCCTTCTCCATTTTGTCACCGATCCCTCCATACCTCCACTCTCTGATTCTCGTTCCTCTTTGCTGATTTTCTCCAAAAGGTTTGAGCACATTTTATTTAAACTCTGGATCTGCTTCTGTAACACACAAATTGGTAGAGAGATTAGGGCAAGCAAGAAATGACTGTGGGGAAGCTGCTTTCCTGTGCTCTTCCAGGGGGTATTTATATGCAATCAACTGTGCATCCTATGAGACAGCAATAGTAAGGCCTAGCTTCTCACGTGGGACTTGGGGGATGGGGGGCAGCAGGGCAGTGAATCAGTCCAACCTGAGCTACATCAGCACCGATGCGGGCAGCATCTGTTGTCAGTTGCTTCTCTTGCTCTTCAACCTCAGGGTCAGGCTTGGTTCTCAGATGGTCAGGGACTACCTCATGGCTGAAAACAGGTACTCGTCCTTCCGTCTGCCGCTGTTAAACACAGCTTTTATTAATCATCCTAGGCATTCCAAGAAGATTCAATCTGGACCGATATATAGGTCCTGTCACAGGCAAACAATGCATTTTCAGGAAAAATACAGCCTAAGATGTATGATACTTTGCTTCCTAGGACACCATACCCCTCACTCTATCATTCATCTCTGTTTCCTCACACTCCTATCTGTACTAGACACAGGGGCAAATCTCTCTGCTCCATTTTAATCAAAGACTAAAATATACAAAGTTACAATAGAAAATGCATTTTGCTCGAGACAGGTGTTGGATGAGAAAGGCCTTTGCCTTGGTGGCAAGTCCTCAGGTTTATTTGGGAGCAGCTCCCCAACTCCAGGACAAAAAGCAAGGCCTCCAAAATGCAGCCTCATTTTTTATTGCTCCACATTCAGAACCTCTACAATAACCAGCCAACGACTGTGCTCTAGGTCCTTACCAAAGAACTTAATTTCCCAAGTTGTACCCTTCTCCTCCTCTTACCATAAGATCTTCATCACGGTCTGGGGACAACACCAGAGGGATGATGACCTGGTTACGGAACAGTGGTGTCTTTTCATGCTTCAAGACCTTGTTCAGAGTGTTCAACTGTCCAGAGAGCAAGGCAAAGCTGTCCAGGACAGAGGGCCTGGTGGTAGTAAGAAGGTGTCAGAATATTCCCAGTAAAGTAGCCTCAAAGGGGTCCTTCAGATTAGGAATACTCAGACTCACCCCCAAAAGACTCCTAGCCCTAGAGCTGGACTAGGTAGGAACCAGCGTGTCTTATAGGGATTGTGGGGTTAGAAAAGAGGGACACACTTTCAGTTTCTGACACAGATGGAGAAAAAACTTCATTTCTTGAATGGGGTGAGGAACAGTGGCAAAATAGGAACCATGCCTACACTGTTATCACCAAAAGTTCAGAAACGGAGTAAAAGCCTCTTTTCTGGCCTGGAAATAAGATCTATATTTCCAGAGTAGGTTGGATTTAAAAGGCTCACCAATATCTATAGCAAGAGATCCAATATGACCTTTGTGTTCCTACTGTAGTGGGAGGATTTCTTTTCAAAGAAGTCAAAGGGTGAGAATCAAAAGCTAGAAAGAGCCTAGATTGGGAAACTGGGCATTTCTCTACTTCCTTGTCATGGAGGCCCTATAGTATACTTCATTCGTTAAATGTTGGGAAACCTAGCTCTTACCAAATCATAAGATGTTTGCAAACTGATACATGGTTCTATCACTGGAGGTGCCCTATTCACCAGGAGGCTTGGCCCTCCCACCCATGCAGCCCTCCCCAGATTACCCTGGCCATCCTTACCAGGTCAACCGGTCATACTCGTTCTCTAATTTGTAAATGAAACTCCCCAGTGAGTTCTTCAGATCAGCCACTTGACTCAGCAGTGCATCTAATGACGCTTCAAGCTGCTTCTCCTCCCTCTGCACCAATAGGAACAGGTTGGTTACCCAGATGAGTGTGAGTATGACACATACAAAGGAAGGCTGAAAAGCCAGGATGACAGTATGCAACACTATTAAGTAACACAGGATCTCACTGGCATAGGAGAGCCAGGTTGTTTTCTATCTTTGGTATTTGGGTTACAGACAGCATCAACTCTTAGACCTTTCAACTCATGCACCTGACCTCGATTCTTTCCACCAACTGATTCCTTTCTCCACCATTTCCTAATTCATGCCTGGTTTTTCTCTGTACTAAGTATACTCTATTCCAGTGATGGCGAACCTTTTGAGCTCGGCGTGTCAGCATTTTGAAAACCCCTAACTTAACTCTGGTGCCGTGTCACATATAGACATTTTTTGATATTTGCAACCATACTAAAACAAAGATTTATATTTATTTTATATATTTAAATGCCATTTAACAAAGAAAAATCAACCAAAAAAATGAGTTCGCGTGTCAGAGGTTCGCCATCACTGCTCTATTCTCTCATTGAGAACTTTTCTCGAGACCTAATGTCTGGGTTTATTCACTTTTGTGTACCTCTGCAGCATCGGTACGACTCTGTTCTAGAGCTTGCCTTGTGAGCCAGGCTGTTCTTGCCAATGGCACACAATCTCTGAGAAATCTACCTATACAGGAAGGTTTCTCTGACCACTGGCTGGCCTTGGACCACCACCGCAGCTCCTGCCTCAGCTCTTCATTTGCCCTTAGCATTTGATGTTTCAACCTTCTCCTTGCTGAATTAATCTGCACTCATTTTATCTCTGTGCCAACATTCCTGTGCCCCTTTCACAGACTTATAAACATTTACTGACAGACGTCCAGGTGCAAGAAACTATGACAAATGAACAACAAAACAACATAATGAATGGGGAAGGCTTGGGGTGGGGGTTGGGCAAAAAGGGAGAAAATGGGAGACATCTGTAATACTGTCAGCAATAAAATAAAAATACATTTTAAAAATGCAAATGTCGCCCCAGCTGGTTTGGTTCAGTGGACAGAGCATCGGCCTGCGGACTGAAGGGTCTCTGGATGAGTCCAGTCAAGGGCACATGCCTGGGTTGCAAGCTTGATCCTCAATAGGGGGCGTGCAGGAGGCAGCAGATCAATGATTCTCTATCATCATTGATGTTTCTATCTCTCTCCCTCTCCCTTCCTTTCTCTCTGAAATCAATAAAAATATATTTTTTAAAAATGCACACGTCCTAAGCACCAGACAAAAAACGGTAAATGCTGGGGGGAGGGGGAGAGTCCTGCAAAATAATTTTTTTCTATCCATAGCCTCCGGTTTTACTTTGGGCACAGGTTGGGAAATCGTCTTGCAAACTCGCCAATGTGCAGGGCAGGAGCCACCCACGGCCTCAGATTATAATTAGTTTAGCTTTTGGCCACAGGGGTTCCACAATTTCTTCATCCCCCGGGCTTCTCTCCGATTGCAAATTCCCTGTTATTTCGGCATCCAACAGTCGGTCACCCCGGCACTTTCTTGAGTCGTCTTCCTTAGAATGCAGCTCAACCTTCCCAAATTACAACCTGGTCCTTTCCCATAACCTAGCAAATCAGTGCTGCTTCCTCCCTCCCGAATTAGCCGTGGTTTCTCTCTGGTCACACGGGCTCCCAACCCATGTCATCTCCGCCTCTCCTCCCCCGTAGGCCTCGCCCCTCCACCCCACGTTCCCTTAAGTGTCAGCCTCGGGCTCTGCCCCCTACTCTCAGCTTCAACTCCTCATTCTCTCCTCGGTCAGCCTACTCTCGGGCCGGTTAACCGAAACTAAGTGGCTATCGATAGCCCCAACCAAACACTCACCTGCATAGCGGGGGCAGTGTCTGCGGCAACCACCTCCTCTTCCGGTTTTCAAGTCAACGAGTCACGCGGAGAGGGTTGCTTCCACCAATCAGAGAGCTCATAAGTTGTCCCGCCTACTCACTTCCTGTTCCTGCCAGGTGCGCGGCAGCCGGGTCAGGGGTCACAAGCGGAACATCTTCCCTGGCCCGGGCCGGCGCGGGAGCGCTGTGTGATGGCTTCGGAACGCCCGGAGCCGGAGGTGAGGGGCGGGCGGGCGCAGCTCTGGTCCCCGAGATCCGAGGGCCCGGCGGCCTGGTCCGGCCGTGGCCTCCTCCGGGTCTTGGGGCGACCGGGCTAGCCCCGAAAGCCTGTCAGTTGAGCCTCCTTCCCGAGGTCCGCAATTTCCTCGAGGGGAAACTCGCTGCTTTGTGTTGTTTACTGAAATTTCATCCACGTCGCCGACTCTAAGGCTCTTGGGTGATTTGACCTAATAATAGTATTAAACCCTTTATTTTGATTTTCTGTTGCAGTTTCAGGGGGCAACAGGGCGATGGACTTACTTTTCCGATTTCTGCATTTCTTCAAACATTGCAATCCCATAAACAGCATGAAATAATTTATTTCTAGCGTTCATGCTTAGGGAAAGCAGTTTTGGTTTCGTGAAAATATTTTTGACTCGGAGTGAAACCTCGTTCCACTATTGAGCTAACTTGGGGCAAGTTTTGACATCCCAGATGTTGTTTCCTTCATAAAATACCTATCTCATGGTGTGTTGTGAGGATCACAAGTATTAAACCAGAAAAATGCATTTGAGGTGTCAATTAGGTGGTAAGGACCTCGAAAGGAACGTCATATACCTTGTGTTATTCAAACTCGTGCAAGGAAGGTGGCAACACCCATTCTCGTTTACAGATAAAGGAAATTGGGACGTGAGGGAGGTTAAGTACCTTACTCAAGTGCCACTCAGCTGGCAGGTAGCAGAATTCTGCAGTTAGAAGCTCCGAGCATAAAATTGCTCAGATTTGGAAGGAACAACATCACTAGGGGAGGTGTCCAATATTACAAGAGAATATGAGTAGGTGGGAAGGGTGAGGGGTGTGTATGATGACACAAATAGTAGTCATTACTAAATGATTACTGCATACCAGGCATCATCCTAAGCACTTTACCAATACCAATGAATGCTCTCAACCCTATGAAGTCGACACTATTACCATCCCCATTTTTCAGTTGTGGAAACAGGCACAGAGAAATTCAGAGAAACAAAGTTGCACAGCTAGTAAGTAGTAGAGCCAGGACTCCAAAAACAGGGGGCCTGGCTCCAGATCTTACGTTCTTAACCATAATGTTTAATAATAATAAATATTTATAAATAATGAAGTAGCCATGGGATGGTAAATCTCCAGTTCACTGGGATTTGATGTGATGAGACTCAGGATTAAGTAGGAAATTATGCCTTATTTAAAATAATCAGACATATTCACAGGAAGAGCCCATGCATCAGAAATACCAGTATTGAGAAAAACCATGAAATAATTTATAGTCTATTTTGTTATGGATTAAAACAAGGAAATAAAATGGGGAAATACAACATACTTTCTAGGCAGATAGTCTTAAACAGCATTGTCCAGTAGAAACCTAATGCAAGCCATCTATATAAATTTCCTAGTAGCCACATTTAAAAAAGTAAAATGAAATGGAGAAAAATTAGTCATGTATTTATTTAATCCTATATTTCCAAAATATTACTTTAACTTATAATAAATATTTTTAAATTATGATATATTAACATTCTTTTTTGTGCCAAATCTATATATATATATATATATATATATATATATATATATATATATATATATATTGATTGATTGATTTTTTACAGAGAGGAAGGGAGAGGGATATAGAGTTAGAAACATCGATGAGAGAGAAACATCGATCAGCTGCCTCCTGCACACCCTCCCACTGGGGATGTGCCTGCAACCAAGGTACATGCCCTTGACTGGAATCGAACCTGAGACCCTTCAGTCCGAAGGCCGATGCTCTATCCACTGAGCCAAACCAGTTAGGGCTGTACCAAATCTTTAAAGTCTAGCATGTATTTTACACTTCAGCACATATCATTTTATACTAGCAATAATACTTCAAGTGCTTAGTAGCCCCATGCAGTAGCAGCTACCATATTGAACAGTGCAGATCTAAAGTAACAGAGTCAAAACACACTCCTGGGAATCTCATTCAGCCAAAGATTAAGCATTTGTTAAGTTCTTGATTTGCATTTCTGAAAATGTTATCTCAGGAAGTAAAGGGGTAAAGAATTCTTCCGCCTCTGGGCAGAAAAGTGACTGACCTTTAGGGTTGCTACCACCCCTAGAGAGAGCGTTTGGGCATAGTCAGATTTAAGAAATCATTCGTTCATCAAATACTTAAAATATTTTGAGTGCTGTTATGGATCCAGAATTGTACTAATTATCAGGGTGGATATGGGGCAGTGTAAGACATGTTCCTTATTTTAATGGCGTAAGCAAACATTGAATTATGATAATAAGTGCTGCAAAGGAAAAATACAGAGTGAATGAGTATTTAACAGCAGTTTTTTGTTGTTGTTTTTTTTGGAGGGACTGGTTCTTTATTTTAAAAAGATACTTGTTCAATTTTCAGTATCAAAATGTTGCACTATTGGTTTCTCTTTCTCCCAATTGGCCCCCAAAGGGACCACACCAAAGGAGAGTACATTTAAGCCAATAAGCTTTAACAACAGTTCTTAACCTACTTTGTTAAGAAATGGTGGGAGCTGAGGTGGATCAGGAAGTTGCTTCAGAGGAATAACATTTAAGCCTTAAGAATGAGAAGACTAAAGGAATAGTGAGAATTCTGAAGTGAGAAGGTTGAGCCTTTGGAGATCTGAGAGGAAGCAGCTGCTAGTGTCTACAGTGTGACAATGAGAATAGCTAACACAGGTGCTTGCTAAAGTCATATAATACTTCTAACTCCTCCACCCCCCACCCCAGAAATAGGTACTTTTATTAGTCCCCTTTCACAGAAAAGGAAACTAAGGCACAGAGAGTTTACATACCTTCACCAAGACCTTCCACCGATAAGCAGCAGAACAAGCATTTGATCCTAGGGACTCTAACTTAGGGGAAGATGGGTGAGAGATGAGGCTGGAGAAGATTCAGGTTGAGGCCATACTAGAGTTTCAGGACTATGTCATATGTATAGTGGTAAGGAGACTTCAGACAGTTCAGGGCGGGGAGGTGGGGGGGAAGTCTACATTTTTCATGGGACTCTTAACAGAAAACAGCACAAAGCTTGAATTATATCTCAACTACAAAGAGCCAGGTGCAAAAAACAAGTTAATGAGATGGGAATGTTTCCTTTATACTGATATACATGATATGCAGTGCAGTATCTGATGATGTTTTATTCATCTTGTTATAAATGGTATGTAGGCCTCAATAATTGTTCCAAAGAATGATAGGCTCCCTCTATCATTGTTCTGACTCTCCTGTTTAGTTACAACAATATCTTTATGAAATAGATATTATCCACGTTATCAGTGAAGAAACTGAGGCCTGGGAAAATTATGTAACTTGTCCAGGCTCACCTAGATAGTAAGTAGTAGAACCAGATTTAATTTCAGATCGATCTCTTGACTCCAAAACCCTGCTTTCTCTTTGCCGGACTCTTCTAAGTATAAATGCACTTCAGACTCAGGAGGATTAAATATTAGGGACTTGAAGCTCTGTATGAGTGTAGGCACTGTGAGAACATCACAGATTCAGGGATTCTCAAACATTAAAGTGGAAGAATCACTTGGGGAGCTTGTTAAGTGTAGATTCCTGAACCCTATCCACTCTAATTCAGTTGGTTTGGGGTGGTGCCCAGGAGTCTGCATTCTGATAAGAACCTCAGGTAATCCTGATGCAGCTGGCCCTTGGATCACACTTTGAAAAATACCATTGGAGCTGCTTAAATCTTTTTTTAAAAATAAATATGCTTTTAGAGGGAGAGAAACATCATGGATAGGCTGCCTCCTGCACGCCCCCTACTGGGGATCGAGCCTGAAACCCAGGCATTTGCCCTGACTGTGAATCTAACCCAGGGGTGGGCAAATTTTTTGACTCGAGGGCCACAATGGGTTCTTAAACTGGACCGGAGGGCCGGAACAAAAGCATGGATGGAATGTTTGTGTGAACTAATATAAATTCAAAGTAAACATCATTACATAAAAGGGTATGGTCTTTATTTTTTTTTAGTTTTATTCATTTCAAACAGGCCGGATCCGGCCCACAGGCCGTAGTTTGCCCACGGCTGACACCAGTAACCTCTTGGTTCATGGGTTGATACCCAACCACTGAGTCACATGGCCGGACTGCCTAAATCTTTTTAAGTCCTCCGGTTCTGATAAATTACACCTTGAAAGTGAAGAAAACATAAGGATGTTTTGAAAACATGGTTGTTGACTTTGAAGGATCACATATACGGGGGAATGTGAGAAAAATTGTTCCTGGCTTCAAGATAGTGGATTCTGTAAGAACTGATTGATGAACTAGACTCCAGCTTGGCCTTGGACAGTCAGTCCATCATTCTAAATGACTTTAGAGACAAGGCGGAAAAATGGAAGCTGTATAGTAGTGTAATTAAGCAGCCTACTAACTAATAATCTAAAGAAAGTTTTCTAATAGCACAGTGATCATACCCTCCATCTGGTTTACCCCCCTCTCCCTCCTCACTTAACAAACCCTGTTTAACCTTCAGTGTCTCTTTCTCCTAAGATCCTAGCCTGGGACAGATTATTTAGTTACATGTTATCATAGAACCCCATTCTTATCCCTTGGTGAATATATTCAGTTTATATAATAAAATAATTAGAGTAGTGACTTGATTTTTTTTTTCCATTGGGTAAATTTTGTAAGAATAGAGAATGCCAGGTTTTGCTTTCCATTGTATACTTAGGACCTAGTGCTGGTATGTGGCAGGCTTTTCATAAATTTGTTGGCTGATAAATGAATGCATGCTCACCTTGCCTTTGTCCTCTTTGGACTTGGATGAGGACGATGGCATCCTGATCAAATTAGCAGGGAAATTAAGCTGTAAAGCAGTGGTTCTCAACCTTCCTAATGCCGCGACCCTTTAATACA